AAAACTTTACTTTACTTTTAATATTTTATTAGATATTTAAATATTAATAAGTAATAATAATTTAAATTGGATGAGTCAATGATTAGTGATGAATATTTTTAATTATTGTCATTGATATTGGCATATATAATCATTTTGTATCAATGTTCGATATGTTATTTTTATGCATATGACGTGAAGTAAGATTTTTATTTTTTATTTTTTAAATAGGCGATACAATTTTCTTATAATATGAAGAATAAATTACAAATACACCCTCATGAGGTTTGTTTAAAATACATATTGGCTCATGTAGTTTGGAAAATTATAAAAATCTCCTTATTAGAATTTTTTGTTTAACAAAATTAATTAAAAAAATAAAATTCATAATTACTCTCCTGTATAATAATAAAATTACATAAATTATTAATTAAAACACATTTCTAATATAATTAAAAACAATTAATTGACTTGGTAATTTATTAATAAAAGATGTAATTTATTATGAAATTAGAAATCTCAGGAGTGAAATATAGTTTTCAGAATTATAAGGAGCAATTAAGAGGTGTATTTGCAATTTACCCTAATATGAAACATAAATTTTTACTAATTGTATTAAGTGTGTCGTATTAGAATTAACACAATTATAAATAAGTCAAATCAGTATTAAGATAATTAATATTACTTTAAATAAAAATTTAATATAATACAATACGAAATGACAGACGATTGATTCCGATCCCGGTTTCCTAGTGGTAACTGGGGTTTTTATTTATTGGCCAAAAATGATACAGAATTTCAATGTGAATGAGTGAGACACTCAAAATCAATTACGAAGGCATAGGAATTTATCCCCACTCATGCGCACCTCCATCTCCTATCTCTTCAATTTGCTCTCTCTCTCTCTCTCTCTCATTCTTATTCTCCAGAAATTATTTAGGCTCCGTTTAAAAAGATGGTTTATAATTTTTTTTTTTGACTATTTTACTCACAATAAATAAAATATCACATCTAATTTATAATTATTATATTTTTTTTCACAAAAAAAAATCAAAAAATCAAAAATCCTTTCTAAACCGAACTTTTTAATCTAAGATAAAATAATTAAAAAAGTCAAAAAGTCAAAAAATCAACCCACTTCATAAACAAATCCTTAGTAAAGTCAGTAATACGACGTGTTTAAGTGCCTGATTAATGAAATATTATACTTTATTCACCATCTCCTCGTCAAAATTAGGAATGGCAAGGGGGCGGGGCGGGGCCGGGGATCCCACTCCCCGTTCCCGATCCCCGATGCTCGAATTTTCCCCGGCCCCGGCCCCGATCCCCAACGGGGAATCTGTCACTACCCCCACCCGCGCCCCCAACGGGGATCAGGTTTCCCCGACCCCGAGCATTCCTCGGCTAAAAAAAAATTTCAGAAAATTTCATCATCAACAAGAAGTTCATCATCTAAAAAAAGTTTCAGAAAATACAACTCATCAACAACAACAACAACAACAAGAAGTTTATCATCTAAAAACAGATCTGAAAAAAAAAAAAAATTCAAAAAAGTTTCAGAAATTTTCAAAAAATTTCATCATCAACAACAAGTAGTTCATCATTTGAAAAAAGTTTCAGAAAATACAACTCATCATCAACAACAACAAGAAGTTCATCATCTAAAAATAAATCTGAAACAAAAAAAATTTCAGAAACGTTTCAGAAATTTTCAGAAAATTTCATCATCAACAAGTTCATCATCTAAAATATATATATATATATATAGAGAGAGAGAGAGAGCTTCACGGTTCACTCCATGAATCATGATCTAAGGGCTAATTCACGATCTGATTCCGAGAGTGATTCACGATCTGTTGGCGATCGGTGATGTGGTGATTCAAGATCTGTTGGTGATTCACGGGCTGTGATCAAATCTGAGAGAGAAAGCGTGAGACCGAGAGGGACAGAGGAGAAAATAGAAGAGAGTGGCTCTTCGTGTTGAAGTTTCTAGGGTTTTGAACTGAGATCTGCTGGAGTTTTGAGAAGATGGCCACCATGGTGAGCTTGATCGGTTTGGTGAATCGCATCCAGAGGGCTTGTACTGCTCTTGGAGGGAGACCATGGTGGTGGCGATAGAGAGGGTTTTGTTTTAGGGTTTCGACTCAATGAGAGAGAGAAGAGATCGGCAGAGAGCGTCTTAGAGAGAGAGAGAGAGAGAGAGACGACAGAGTCGATGATGAGAGAAGTGGTGCTGCTGCTGTGTTGTGTTTAGGGAAAAGGGTTGATTTTTATATATATATATATATATAAGGGGGTAAAATGGTAATTTTACTTCGGAAAAAATTCGGGGCCGAGGACGGGGACAGGGACGAGCCGGGGCTTGAACACTGATTCCCGTCCCCGGCCCGAAACTGAACGGAGATTTAATTTCGAATACCATCCCCGTCCCCGCGGGGGTATTTTTTGGGGAAAAACCATTCAAATCGGGGTCGGGGGATCGAGTCCCCGTCGGGCCGGGTTCAAATTGCCATCCCTAGCCAAAATCATATATTCATTATTTATTATTATATATTCATTATTTATTATTACTTGCACACATAACTAATGTAAAATTTTGAAAACACAAAATAATTACTCCACTCCTCTTCTCAACTGTTCTTTTTTAAAACAATCACAAAATATGTGACATTACCATAAAAATACATAGTATTACAACAAAAAAGTGTAACTTCATTTTTTAATCACAAATTACCTACCAAAAAATTACATACACAGGTAAATTTTAGGGTAGACTTCTCAAATCACACACACATAAATAAATAAAACCAAATTCTAATATATTGATATCATCTTTCAAAAAATAAAATGTAGTTATAAAAATTTACATAAATAAAATGAGATATATGATTGAAATTGATATGAATAATAAAATTATATAAATAAAATATATTATTTAATTTTCAAGTAAAAATGTATAAATTCAACCAACACAATTGTATCTAGTACAAGTTACCAAAAAAAAAAAAAAAAAAGCCTCATCATTTTTCATATGATTCCTTTATTTCTCTCTTCTTTTTTTTTTTGTCGAAATGAAATTAATTTTTAAATTTTTTTAAAAAATTATCTTTGATGTTAAAAAAATATCTCTACATGCTTCACAAATCCACTTCATGATCATATGGACACAGAGCAAGGCTTGCATGGAGAGCCAAATGTCTTCAATTATTATTTATTTTACAACGGTCGGTCTTCCTCTATCCACTTTTCCTCTCTACCAACACTTATTTTGCTTTTCCTCACCCTTTTTTTTTACCGCTTCTGACCCTTTTACCACCTTCCCCCCTTCACTCCTCTATAAAAGCACATCCATTCCTTTCCAATCCTTTTTAACACTTATCTACCCAATAGATAGAAGAGTGTCGGGAAGGGTTTGAGATGAGTGAAGGACTTCCGATCTAGGGGTAAATAGTGGGTGGCCAAGGGATTGAAAGTGGTGGAGATGGCAAGGGAGGGTGACAGAAGTAGAGGTAGAGAGGAAAATAAGATAGAAGAAGGCTGTTGCAAAATAAATAACAATAATATTATAAACTGGTTCTTATCAATTTTTTAAATTTTAAACATTTTTTTTTTTATTTTTGGTGTGTTTGGTTTGATTTGAGATTTCTGTATTAAGTTTTTTAAAAATTGAGTTTTTTGATTTTCGTATTTTTTTATTTTTAGTGAATCTTTTTTAAATTTTAAACATTTTTTTTATAATTTTTTTAGATGCACCTTAGTTAAATTTATCTAAAAAGTAAAAAATTTGTGAACAAATATTTTAAAAAATTAATAAATACATAAAAATATAAAAAATGTACTGAATTCTTATATATATTTTTTTATATTTTTGGTATTTCATGAAATTTTAAAAGATTTTTTTTTTATATTTTTTTACTTTTTAGGTGTATTTATGTTAGGTGTGTCTAAAAAGTAAAAAATTTGCTTAAAATATTAAAAAAATTCAGTAAAAACAAAAAAACATGAAAAATAAGAAAGTAAAATTTTCTGAAAAATGAAAACAAGCAAGCTGAATAATATTATAAACTCGTTCTTATCAATTCATAATTTACTCAAAAAAATAAAATTAAAAATTAATGGCTCAAATTCATTACATATATAAATCTCCTATTTTATCAATTCAATTTCCATCATACAAACATATTTAGGATAAATTTAGAGTCGGTAAAAGTGAGTTCCTAATATTTTTCAATAAATAATGCTTGAAGACGTTTTTTTTTTTTTTTTTCCGATACATCGGAAATGGAAATACAAGCAAAACAGCAGCAGAAAAGAAAAGAAAAAAAAAACAGAGCTAGGAAAAACAGAGCCCATCCTAAATTCTTCGATAGGCCGTCTCGATCTTATCTGCCACAACTTGGCTCTGAACTCCAGTAGGAGGATCGTCAACTATCACCAAACGCTCCATTTGATCAGCCTCCTAATTAGCAAGGAAATCAGCACATTTGTTACCTTCACGCATGATATGGCGGATGGTGTAGTTACACCTACGGATCAAGTGTCGAGAATCCTCCACAATACTGTGAAAAGAGCAATTCTGGGGAGGACCTTCAGTAAGGAGAGCTTCAGCTGAAGTAGAGTCAATTTCCACGATAACTTCTTGCATTCCCTTTTCGAGCACAATCGTAAGCCCACGATAAATATCCCACATTTCAACTTCAAGACTTTGACAAGAGTCCAATTTTCCAAAAAATCCACAAAGCCAAACACCTGTTTCATCTCTTCTTACATGCTTGAAGACGTTTGATTCTCCACGTAACTGACTACTAATTCATTTTCTCAACAAATTATATTAAAAAAATCCTATAAATGTTAACACTTCTATTATAAAATATATAAGATATTAAATAAATAAATAATTGATTGTAAAAATATTTAAATATCTAATGAATATTTAGACTAACATATTTTTAATATAATTTTTTGTGTATATACATTGGTACATCTCATCATCCAACCCACCCCACAAAAAAACTTGTGAACTTCCAGAACCAACCAATAAAACACAACCAGTACTAAAGGCTAAAAACCAGACAACTCCAAACCCACCATTACCATGGCTTTATCTTCTCACTCCCACACAATCCTCACTACCACTCCCTCTTCCTCCTCACATTCACTCCCAAAACTCCTCCATCTTCCCCAGCACCATTCCCTCTCTTTCCCAATCAAACCCACCACCACTCAATACACCCAAAATCTTTCTACAACCACCACCTCCCCTGTCTCTGACAAGTGGAGAACCCATGTCTCTTTCTTTCCCGCTTTCTTGAACAAGACCAGGGATGCCAAACCCATCAAAGAAGAACTTCTCGAGGCCATTGCACCGCTCGATCGTGGTGCCGATGCCACTCCTGAAGATCAGCAAAGAATTGATCAGGTTGGGTTTTCTTGTCCCCTGTTTATTCAACTTCCATTTTGTTTTCTGGGCTTTTATTTTTTTTTCCTTTTCCTTAGTTTGAAGTGAATAAATGCTTTGGGTTTGAAATTGATAAACCCTTTTGGATTTGGTTGCAAAGAAAATTGAGAAAAAGAAAAGAAAAGAAAGATCTAAATTACAAGTCTGATATATAGTTTTATGTTGTATTTAAATCCTGCAAAAGGGAAAAAGACACCCAATTTGTTGAATTAGGCTTAGTTGAGTGGAGTTGCTGTTGTTCTTGTGGTATTTAACCCACTCATAGTGTTAAGAAACCAGTTAGTTGTATGAGGATTAATTGAATTGTGAATTGGTCAGCTTGGTTTTTCTTGTCTCCCGTTCACTTGTTCGACTTTAGTTTTGTTTTCTGTGTTTTTGTTTTCTTTGCTTTTCTCATCAGTTTGAAGTGAATGAATGCGTTGGTGTTGGAATTCATATAAACCCTTTGGTTGGTTGCAAAGAAAAACTGAGGAAAATAAAAGAAAACAAAGTTCTAAATTACAAGTCTGATGTATAGTTTTATGTTGCATTTTTTTTTTTTTGATAAATAGTTTTATGTTGCATTTGGTTCCTGGGAAAAGGGAAAAGACACCGAATGGTTGAATTAGGCTTGATTGAGTTGTGTTACTGCTTCTTATGCGTCATAGCACTCATAGTTTTTGTTTTTAAAGATGGGAACCCACTCATAGTGTTGAAGACCCAAATAGTAGGTTGAAGCTTAACGATGTGTTTCGTTGGGACATTTGGGAAGAAATTTGGAAAAGGAAAGGGAAAAGGTAGGTGAAATGTGAATAAAATACACCTACATTTCACCTAGTTTCATGTACTTTTTGCTTTCCCTTTTCAAATCATTTCCCAAATTCTCCAACCAAACACAGCGTAATTGAATTGAATTTTTTTTTTTTTTGGTTTGCCAAGGAACTTAGTTTTTGATCAATAGTAGTCTAAATAGGGTAAAACAATAATCCCTTTAACAATATAGAGTTTTGCATTTTTCTGCTTTCCCATTTATTCCCAATATCACATCATTTCCCATTGTTGATGGCTATACAACTCCTTCAGTCTTGCCCCATATATGTACACACACACAAATACACATATACACACCACTAGATTACCATTTTGAGAAGACTCTTATTATTGAGAATGCAGAAGTTTGTATTAATGTTCCCCGAAGCTGTAAACTATACTGCAATGTGGTCCAAGAGGAGATGGAATGACCTGCATTCTTGAGGTTTTTAATGCATCTCATTGTTTGCTTCCTTGGAATTTGTTCTTGACTAGATTGCTCGCAAACTTGAAGCAGTCAATCCAACAAAGGAGCCACTCAAATCTGATTTGCTAAACGGAAAATGGGAACTTATATACACAACTTCAAAATCAATTTTGCAAACCCAGGTATGCTAATATATTTCTGTTATTTATTTTTTTAATTTTTCACTTGCATTGATGTCTCAACTCTTATAAGACAATTATTGTTCTGTAAAGAGATCATACTACTGTGTTTACGTAGATTGAGTGTGAGTAGATTGTTAAATATGTTGCCATTTTCTGAACCGTATCTTGCATCTTTCCTTTGAATGTTAGAAAATGTTGGTGGAGTTGGTAAAAGATGATCAGTACAGTAATGTTGCAAAATATTGTCATTTATAAGCTTTATGGATTTTCCTTTATCATTAATTTAGCTTTCTTATTGTCAATATTACGAGCAAGATCTTCATTAAGAAGAGGAGTAAATAGAAAAACCTATTCCCTAGGAAATACAGATGTTAAAATACTGAGGTGAGGAAACTTAACCAAAAATCCTTTCAGCTTAAGTAGAAAATGTCTTGTGGTTACTCATTACTTAGAAGTTTGTCTTCGTTTTTGTTTTTTGTGTTTTCCTTTCTTTCTTTCTACTTGATTGATTTTTCTTCCCAATTTTATTGCAGACATTAAACTTGGTTGTGTTGTTTAGTTACATTTTTTAGTGTTAAGTAACCTAATCACATGATTGCTAGACAACAAAGTGAGTTCAGGCATGGTTTTCTCTTTTCCTCCGTGTTTATTTATTTATTTATCATGACATTAGTGACAAGGGGTATTATTTGATTTCTCTACATTCTTATTGAAGCTATTAAATAATTTTATAATTGCAATAAGACCTTTCTTCTCTTTTGTTGTTTCTATATTTTGAGATTACTTACCAAGCAACACCATGACAGAGACCCAAACTCCTAAGATCAAGGACAAACTACCAAGCAATCAATGTGGATACACTAAGAGCTCAAAATATGGAATCTTGGCCGTTCTTCAACCAGGTACTGTATTAATTCATGCATTTTGTTGTTTAACTTCTTCTTAAAAGATCCTTTTGCACTTTAAGGTAAGCATCAAGACTAAGTTTAAGGGTGGGTTTATTAGTTACTTTTCCTTAAATTATTAATACAATATAATGTTTTACTTTAGCTGCCCCCTACCTCCAAGCATTGCTTGAGTCTATTTTTTTTTTCAAAAAAAGGATGGGTTTTTTGATTACCTATCAGCTGATAAGTATGTATACAGGGAAATGCTATTTTTGTTTCTAGCTTTAGAACTTCCCTACGTCGACCTTCATGTTTTGCTTCTCTCATGCTGATGTTGAAAGCACGTATTGAAAGTTGTTTTTTACTGAGATAAGAAAACAAAGTTGTTTTATTTTCTGAGTTGTTGTTATGCCTATTCTTCAATGCTAATGTTTGTTTCCCCAATATCTTCCTGTTAATTCACTGCGTGGTTTTGTAGGTGACTGCAGATTTGACACCACTGAATGCAAGAAAGGTGGCTGTAAAATTTGATTTTTTCAAAATTGGAGGCGTGGTAAGTTTTCTCCTGCTTACGAAGTAATAGTATTGTGCAAGCTATTGTTTTTACGCTTCCAGTGTTCTTGCTTGAAAAAGAAAGAAAGAAGAAACGTGATAATAATGTGAATAGAAATAGGTTGTTACTGTTGCACCTTGGGTTCATTGTTAATAGATGTATATATATTCCCGTAAAGGGTTTTCTGCATTAATGCTCTATTAAACAGTTCATTGTGTGACTTCAAGAATAATTGATGTGTCATTAACTTATGACATGCATATAAATACCCTTTAATCAAAACTTAATATAGGTATATCGGCCCACTTGCCCATGTGGCTAGCCACACCAGTGCTATGGTACCATCATGCCATCATCTCCATGAGTTTGGTTTCCACGTGTCATCCTTGTGAGTCAACATCTGGACCAACAAGATACCACCACGTGTCAGGCTCATCCCTTCCATGGTTAAGATTGCAAACGAACTGAGCTGAGCCGAGCCGAGCTTTGCTAAGCTCGAGCTCGACTCATTTACTTAGCGAGCTCATTTATTGAGCTTGAGCTTGGCTCGATAAGGAACTGGGGTCGAGCTCGGCTTGGCTCGGCTCGGCTTGACTCGTTAATATTAATGAAACTTGAGTTCGGCTCGATAATTTTTTTTAAAATGTTGTTTATATTATTTAAATAAAAAATATGATTTTTATTATTTAATACATAAATAATGTATTTATACTATTATTTATACATATTCATATATTATTTTAATATATAAATAATATATTTATTATATAATTTAAATAAAGATAAACGAGCCGAGCTTGACGAGCTGAGCTTATGCAAGCTCAAGCTCGGCTCATTTACTAAACGAGCTGAGCCCTTAATGAGCTAAGGCGAGCTTGTTCATGAACAACTTGATTCATTTGCAGCCCTATCCATGGTCAAGCCATGTTGGCAGAGTTGACATACATAGAGCATTAACCTCAAGCTTGCTCGTTTGGGGGCAATATGTGAGAGCACTCCTATATGCTTGTTTGGTGTCTCCCATGTGCCTTCTTTCCTTGTTTCTAATGGCATCCAGATGTTTTCATACCAGCCTATTGAGAACAGGGCCTAAGGACCTCCTTTGAGTTGGTGTCACGGTCATAGGGCCCCTAGTGCTACCTTGTGACCCTCACATGTGGCTTGGTGGTTAGGATTAAGGATTTTTTAAGGTGCTCATCTCACCATATCTCGAAGGCGTTGCACATTGGTTGCCAGTCTTAGAGAGTTAAAAGAATGAAAAGAATTATTTGGCTTACCAATCAATGACATAGAGGTCATGTATATATAATATATTCATGATACAATTTAAGAAACAATATACATAAGGTAAGATAGATTCCTATAATCAAAATAATTCATGTTCTAATTTCTATTCTAATTTCCATATTCAAACATAATATTTTGATTTCTATATTCAACACTCCCCCTTAAAGTGGCTTGAAAATATTCAACAAATGCAGCTTGTCAATGGAAGACTGGAGCAAAGTCGGTCCCATAGATTTTGTGAACATATTTGCCAACTGTTGAGAAGAAGAGACGAAGGATGGACGCACAATGTCAATCCAAACATTTTCTCAAATGAAATGTATGTCAACCTCGATATGCTTGGTATGTTCATGAAGTACAGAATCAGATGATAACATAATGGCAAATTTGTTATCACAAAATAAAGAGGACAGAATAGTCTCCTCAAAACCCAACTCTGTCAGAATAGAGCGAATCCAAAGAATCTCACATATCCCATGTGCTATGGCCCCGATACTTAGCCTCTGCAGAAGACTTGGAAACGACTGCTTACTTCTTACTTTTCCATGAGATTAGATGATCACCATAGAAAGTACAGAAGTCAGAAGTGGAATGCTGATTAGTCCTAGATCCTATATAGTTTGCATCGGTGATACAGGGGAGCCCAGATTGGAGACCAGCGGTAAAGAACAATCCCAAGTTAGGAGAAATTTTTAAATACCTCAAAATATGATGAACCGGGTTAAGGTATGCTTTACGAGGTACATATATGAACTGACTCACAATACTAGCTGCAAATGTCAAATCAGGTCTAGTGTTGGTCAAATAAATGATGCGTGCAACAAGATGCTGATACATGTCTAGGTTATCCAACAGCTCACTAGACTTTGATGTGAGTTTGACATTAGGATCCATAGGAGTAGAAATAGGTTTACACCCTAACATACTAGTATCTTGAAGCAAGTCAAGGGTGTACTTTCTTTGAGATGAGGAGATCCCCTCGCTTAAGCGAGCCACCTCAATTCTCAAAAAATATTTGAAAATCTCAGATCCTTAATATCAAAAGTTTGGCCCAAGTCCTTTTTTACTTGTCTAATGCCGACAGAGTCATCACCTGTGAGAATAATATCATTCACATAAACTAATAAGATTATACATTGACCTGCAAAATTTCGGCGAATGAAACAACTGTGCTCGGAGTGGCACTGAACAAAGCCCATAGATATAATAACAGAACTGAAGCGATCAAACCATGCTCGTGGAGACTATTTTAGACCATACAAGGATTTGCGTAACCAGCACACTTTCTCCGAATACTCCCCCTCAGCCTGAAAATCGGGTGGAGGAGCCATATAAATCTTCTCAAGAAGATCTCCATGGAGAAATGCATTCTTGACATCAAGCTGATGAAGGGGTCAAGAATGAGATGCTGCAAGGAAGATAAGGAGACGTACAGAAGTAAGCTTGGTGACATGGGCAAAAGTGGCACCAAAATCCTTGCCAGGAATCTACGTGAAACCTTTGGCCATCAAGCCAAGCTTTGTAACAGTCAACTGAGGCATCAGCGAGGTACTGTATAGTGAACACCCATTTGCAACCAACTGTGCTTTCCCTAAGAGGTAAAGGTACAAGATCGTAAGTGTGATTCTGTTCTTAGGCCGCCATCTCAGTCTACATAGCTGCTACCCATTTGGGATTTTGAAAGGCCTCAGATACAGATCGAGGAATGGACTCCGACTCAAGCTTGCCAAGAAAAGAATGGTAAGAAGGGGAAATCCTGTCATAGGAAAGATACTAGGAAATAGGATGATAAGTAACTCAAATAACTCAAACGATTTGGAGGATGTCGATCCCGATGTGGGTTATGACGAGAAGGTGGAGGAGAAGCCAAATGAGTAGTTACCTGACCCAGAGATCGGAGAGGCGGTAGGGGGGGCTGAGTGCGTGGGTGACGGGAGTATACTTGCAATGGAGGAAGAGGCGAAGGTTGAGAAGGAGAAAGGGGGACAACCTCATTCTCAACCTCGTCTAAAATGGTCACCGGGCAAACAATGGAAACAACAGGAGGAGAAGCCTACAAAGAAAGGTTAGTACCAAATAAAGGAAAATTTTCACAAAACGTAACATCCAAAGTGTGGTGAAAGTGACGAGACATAGGTTCATAACACCTATACCCTTTGGATATGGAAGAGTACTCTAAGAAGATACAACGAATAGATTTGTTATCTAACTTTGTGTGAGTGGGACTCTGATTTTGAACAAAATAGGTAGACCCAAAGACACGAGGTAAGTGTGAAAACAGAGTGGTGGTCGGCATAAGGGTATGAAACTAAGTGAGGCTATGCAACATACGACTAGAGGTCCTATTAATGAGGTAAATAGCAATAAGGACAGCCCTATGCCAATAAGACTTGGGAACACCCATACTTTGAAGAAAACTCCGAACAATAGACATAATATGACGGTTTTTGCGTTCAGTAACATTATTTTGTTCAGGGGTCCGAGGACAAGTTGTTGAAGAATACCCGGTTTGATTAAGATGGGGAACGAAATGCATTAGAAATATATTCTCCACCATTATTAGAACAGATAGTCCTAACAACTGCATAAAACTGAGTTTTAACCATTTGTAAAAATTAGACAAAAATGGGAAAGACGTCAGGCCTGCGACGAATTAGATAAAGCCAAGTGCACCTACTGTGATCATCAATAAAAGTTACATAATATCTATGACATGAAAAAACAGTGACATGGGAAGGGTCCCAAACATTAGAACGTATAAGATTAAAAGTACTAGGAACACGAGTCATGTGAGGGATATAGCTAGTACGGGTATGCTTCGATAACTCACAAACACACAATGAAACTTAGAATCTTTGTAAGCTTTATTAAATGAAAGAAAAAGTTAACATAAATATTAAAAATTAACATGACCCATATGAGCGTGCTATAATTCTAAAGTTTGAATGTTAAAAACACAAGACATGTAAACATGCAAAATAGAGACTTGAAAACTAGCTAAGGAAGAAGAAGAAGGCTCGTCCGGTGGATCCCCAAAGTAGTACAGCCCATCACGCTCATAGCCCTTGCCAAAAATCCTCTTCGAACTCAGGTCCTGTAAAAGACAAGAGGAGGGTAAGAAGATGATATCACAAGAAGATGATATCACAATTAAATTATTTAGCAAGACGACTAACAGATAAGAGATTATATACAAAATTTGGAACATGTAAAACAGATGATAAAGTAAATGGTAGGGGATAAATACACTACACCCTTATGACGAACAGAGGATAACGAACCATCAGCAAGACACACAGATTGGGCAATAGTAGTAGGGACTGGTGAAGAAGGAAAGGAAAACTCACCCGTCATATGATCATTAGCCCTAGAATCCAAAACCCATGAGGGACTAGCAGATCTAACATGGAAAGCAGTAGAAATACTTATTGCAAGGGTGGCAACAATGCTAGACGATGGGCCAGGAGAACTGGCAGTAAGAGATCCAAGCTGAGCCTGAAGCTGACCAATCTGAGTCTGTAACTTCTGTAAATTATGGAGATGAGAAGACCTAGGAGCAGGAGTAGCGGAATCCACTAGAGTCGCAGTGCGAGGGGTGTCAGCACCACGAGGGCAAGAGGAACGTTGCCTCAACTCAGGATGAAGTTTGAAGCAACGAGCCTTACCATGAGTAGAAACGCCACAATGATGACAAGTAATTGGACCAGTAGAACACCGGAGAACCAGACTTTGCAGCAAGAGCCATCTGATCAGATGAAACTGGAGACAGTGGAGAAGGATTTGGCTGAACCAGACGCCTACGATGCTCATCACTATCAATGGTGGCAAAGGCCTCATAGGGAGAGGGCATATGTGATGTGTTTAAAATCTGAGTTCGAAGGGATTCAAACTCAGAGTTTGAACCTGTCAGAAACTGATAAGTATGCTGGCGAGCAAGGCATTTGGACACAAGAGAGGCACCATCTGCTTGTAACTCAGTCAAGGGCTCATATTGAGCCAATTCTTCCCAACGGGCTTGAAGGTATCCAAAGAATTCTGACATAGAAAGACCTAAGGCAGACTGGGAAGCACGAGCAATATCCTGATAGAGCTTAAAGAGGTGAGCATCGTTATGAGCATGAGCATACATCTGTGACAAGGCATGCCATAGACCGTGAACTGTGTCGCAATAGAGAAACATGTGATAAATACGATTTCATGGAGTTGAACATCCATCCCAAAATAGTATAGTTATCAATATCTCACTGTGCACGGGTAGGATTTGTTGCAGCAGGCTGGGTAGTGGAAGATAAAAGCCAATGAGCTTTTCCCTTGCCCCCTAAATAGAGTTTAAGGGAGCGGCTCCGAGCGATAAAATTTTTCTCGTTCAATACCACATTCGTAATACGATGAACATGAGTGTGATGAGAAAGAGAAAAATCAAAACTAATTGGAACAGGCTTGGTGGGTATATCAGCAACGGATGGATCAGTCATGGTGGAAGAAGAGGGGTTGAAAAACATAAAAAGATAGTAACATAATCCAAGAAAAAATAAGAAGCCGAAAAAAACTCAACGGCTTATCTAAATAGATACTATTGAATAAACCTGGAAGCCCTAAAGAATAAAAGGATAGACAAAGGGGCTTAATACATTAGTCCAATCACCCTAAGAAGGGGGGGAAAAAAATAGCCACGGACCACCTAAAGAGGTATTTGAAGCACATAAAACCAAAACCAAGTTTGGTCGGCAGCAACCAGAGCCTCGGCAGGGATAAAGAAGGCCTACCGAGGTGAAGACAGGAAGGAGAGGGGCTGAGAAGGCTGGGTTGAGGCTGGGCTAAGGCTGTTGGAGGGAGAAAAAGAGTTGGAAAGGGCTGTTGGAGGCTAAAGAGAAGGAAAAAGGCAGTCGGTGGTGATGGGTGGTTGAGAGAGAGATGGTTAGGGAGGCTCTGATACCCAAAAAAAAAAAATGAAAAGAATTATTTGGTTTACCAATCAATGAGGTAGAGGCCATATATATATAGCATATTTGTGATATAATTTAGGAAATAATATGCACAAGGTAAGATTCCTATAGTCAAAATAATTCCTATTCTAATTTCTATATTCAAACATAATATTTTGATTTCTATAGTCAACAAGATCTCTATTAGAAGACAACTTCAGGGCAACAGAAGGCGTTAGGCTGGGCAGAGACTACTACCTGTCTCTTGTACCCATTTGGGCATGTGTTGAGCTGGTCTTTATGGCCTAGCCCCTCTATATATAGTAGTTCACCTCCTTTGTTTCAAAGCAAGCAAGCAAGCAACCACCTCCCTCAAACCCGTAGGCTTCATTTCTCCATTTCCAGACCTCTGGTGGTTCAACACCAGCTCAGAGCCAACCATACTTCCCGAATGGCTCCAACAATCAGTTTACACAATCTACCATCCACACCCTACTTCTGAAAATACCCTGACCTGAAAATCCAAACTCTAGAATCTAGACTGAGGTTGGTCTGAAAGCCATCCCAACTTTTTCTCATCTGGCCGCACTTGCTATTCATTTTGTAAATAAGTATAAGGAATTTGGGAAAGTGTTTTGTCTAACAAAAAGAAAAATGAAAGATAAGGAAAATAAATATAAAGGGAAAAGGGTTCTATAAATAAAAAGAAAAAAGGAGGAAATGGCTTGGCACAAAGTATGTACTATATAATTTGTCATAAGATGCTTGATATGGCATATGATATTGGGGTATCTGTGAAAGGAAAAAGTAATGCCGCTGATGTCTTCTATGACAACCCTTATTTCTCATTAAAAATAGAGAAATAACATTGGAAATGATCTATTTTGGGCTGAAGAAAAAATATAATTTAAAAAAAAAATAGAGAAAAAAAGGTCTCAGTTTCATGTTTAGTTATTTTTCAAGGGAAATTTACACTCATAAAGCTTATATTATCCCAGAATGGTGTATCCTCACAAGAGCCACCAAATGTGCACATTTTCTAATTTTTAAGTAACTTACAAAACATGCATGATTGATGTCCTTGTGATATACAGATACCTATTAAAGCTCCTGGAAGAGCTCGAGGTGAACTGGAAATTACTTATTTGGATGAAGAATTGCGGTGAGTTGATGTACTGAAAGTGCTAGATAATTTCTGCTGCTGCTGTTTATTTATTTATTTATTGGTGTGTCTGGTGCAATTGGGATTTGGGTGTTATTTATTTTCAGTTGGACAACATTTCTTTGCTTACCACGAATTATGTTGTTCATTAAATTTTAAATTTTAAATTTGTTTATATTTTTTGTGATTTTCCTTATTGCAGAGTATCAAGAGGTGACAAAGGGAACTTGTTCATCTTGAAAATGATTGATCCTTCTTACAGAGTCCCAGTTCCAGCCTGATGCACTCAAAAGTGCTGCCTTATGAGAATAGATGGTGTATTTCTTCCACATATACTCTTCCGCATAGTTGCTCCTACATTTCCTTGTATATTGTGTGTATGTCTCTTGTATAAGGGAAATCTGAAAACTTACATAGCTGCCTTTTTTTTTTATTTTTTGTTTCCCTTTTCTTTTGTTCTTATTTAATCATATATAAATTTTTGTTGTTATATGTCTTTCGAGTTTTGTAATGACTATCCAATATATGAAACCAAAGGGGCTCAATGCAGCCTCTAGTTGATGATGATGATTCATTATATTAGGCCATCAATTCAAATATTAGTTTGTCATTTGGCTATGAATCCTCAGCTTAAGGCCCCGCAGACAAGTTTCTTTAGTTGTTTTTCACGCTAAAAAAAAAGTTGTATTTGAATTTGTATTAGAGAAATGTTTGGGACTCTTTTTTTGGGAGGGTTTTATGACCTCCAATTTGATCTTAGCCCTTGATGTATGGGGTTTATTCATGTATGTATGGGCTTTACATTATGAGTGGTTGGGATGAGAGTGGGGATTGTAGAAGTCATGTATGTATGGAGATCTCTATCACAATTCTTTCTCCAAGTTGGTCAGGTGTTGGTTTTCTAAAATCAAAGTCGATGTGTGAAAAACAAAAAGTTGTGTACGAATGAGATATCCAGCAATAAGGAAAAGGAAAATGATTGAATGGTGGAAGTATTTAGTAAGGGTATCGTTTTCTTTCTATTAATTGAAGAATCAGAATATCACCTATTATTCATTTCTTTTTTGTTTTTTTTCCCCCTAGGACTGAAGAATCAAATTATTACATTTATTTTATTTTATTTTATTTTATTTTTACTTGAAATTGCAAAGATGTAAATAATTTATCTACCAATAAATAATAATCCCCCCCAAAACAAAGGGCATGTTTGGTTAAAAATTTTAGAAAAAAAATTTTAAAATCACTTTTCTGTCTACTACAAATCATTTTTTCTATCTATTTTCTCATTTTCAATCACTTTTTCTCCTATAGCCATCTATTAAATTACAAAAAAAATATTAAATCATCCTAAATTTCAAGACTCCAAAGCTATTTTCAAAATATACAACCAAACAAATTTTTAAATTTTCCAAACTCTCTCTAAAAAATTATTTTTGAAATAATATCTCAAAATACAAACCAAACATGAATTTGTCCAGAGCTCATCAATCCAAATTATCCAATTACTTCATGAGCCCATTTAACCCAGAACGTAAAAGGAATAGAGCTAGAATTGGTATCAGAAACCCAACCCAAAAGAACAAAAGCCCATGTATTGGGCCCCGAAAACGGGCTGAGAACCTAAAAAGCCCATTTAGCATTGGACTATAAAAAATTGGACTAGATTTGGTGGGCTAAGCCAGGCTGCGACTGTAGTGCAAAGCCAACGAGACGCAAGAGTCGTCCCATGCAGCAAGCTACTGTGGTGGGCCCTTTCCCTAAAAAAATTAATTTGGTATCATGTGAGCCAATGGCTCATATATCAGATATTAAACTGATAGGAACAGTAGTACACTTGATCTTAGGCCACTCCTTTTATAATTACTTGGGCCACTCCTTGGGCCACTCCTTTTATAATTACTTTCTCTCTCCTTTTTCTCCCTTCTTTGATGTGGGAATGAACCAAAAACAATTGTTTTGTTTGTTTTTTAGGAAAAAAAAAAAAATTCAGAATTTTTTAAAAAAATAAAAATTAATTTGATAAAAAAATATCAAAAATTTTTAAAAATTATTTATGGCCTCCCAAAAGATACAATTATGTAAAAATGATAAGTGTTTTTTTTTTTTTAAAAAAAATTTCTTTCAACAAATTGATTTTTAGGCTTTTAGAAAAAATTTCTGAAATAAGTTTTTGAAAATCGAACCAAGGGTTGAACTGTTTTTATTTCAAAATTTTAATGGACTCATCAACAAAGATGGAAAATTTCTATAAATGTATGACCATATTATTACAAAAAACAGCCTTGAAATGTAACCTGAGTTGAGAAGCTAGTGATTTTGTTTCTGTTCTTATGGAAATCCTTTCTGTGAAGTGCTCTTAGTCAGAGAACCAATGTCAAACAGACTATAAAATATGAGACTCAGTGGTGAAATCTATGAATCTAATTGCGCCATAGACAGTATATAAGCCAAACATGTTCTTTGTATTTCTTAAAAAGATTATTAGAGTTTGCCACATGTAATCTGTTAATAAAATCTATAAAAGCACACAACTCATTTTAGTGATTTTGTCACACAATTTTAATTCCTAAAAAAGTCACAACAATTTTATATTTTTCTTAAATATTTACCTTTGCCTAAATTTTTTGTAAAGATCAAAAAAAATATAATTAACTATTAAAAACTATTGTTCACTACCCAAACACACACTCTCTCTCTCTAACGATTTCCATGTTTTCACAGTTAGAATAGCACATGATAGTGGGAAGAGTAGAGGATTCCGATGGGCTTATTATAGACCTATTTTGATAATATAAATTATTTATCTCGTAAATTCTGTTGAGCAGATTATTTATATAAAAAATTAATTAGATATGTTGAGTAGATTATCTATAAAAAGTTAATTATATATCCATAATCATATGAACAAATCATTTTTATTTCAAAAAAAATATAAATTTTATAAATCGAATAGTTTAAAATATCGAATTAGGTCCGAGGTGGAGCCACCAGAGTCTGAGTTAGACTTCTAATTCCTCCCTTATCCGGCTGTCAAACACGCATGCTAGAAACTTGAACTTTAATACCTTTTTTCGTAGTTTGAATCATTAGTTTTAACTTCAAACAAATTGCAGTATTTCTCCGACATTCTTCTTTTTACAAAAGACAAACAATCTTATAATTGATGGTTGGTTGTCAAATGTGAATGTTTCTCATTAGGAAAAAAAAGACGTTGTCCAATCAAGTGGTTAAAAATTCTTCCTCAATTTGTTGATTTTTTTGTAATAATTTTTTTGATTAAAACTCCAACTTTCCAAACAAGGCATTTGTGGCTTGGCTCCCCTACCTACCCCCACATTCTTTCCGATGGTGCTATATATACCAATTGGTATACCAATTAATATATCAACATATGTTATGATATTGTCACTTTAAAATTATGACTCCATCCATTATACAAACTATAAAGACCCAAAATCTCTAAAATTATGTCATACTATGTGTTAGTATACTAATTGTTACATATAGCATTATTCTATTCTTAATAGTAGGCTAGACATATACATTGTATTTCACTCCTTAAAAAAAATGTATTGAAAAATTATTAAATACTCTTATAATATCATATGATATTGTCTATACGATATTTTAATAAATAAGAAATTTTTATATATATTAAGTGAGTTATTATTTGTCTCACAATTAAATATGAGTTAACATATCCTACTTATAAAATTTTTCGCTACTTTATTAATTTGGAGTATCACATAACATTCTGAATTACCAAATGAGTATTGCTATTCATGCCAAAAAATTAGACTCGCTTTTTGACTCAAAATTTTTTTTTTTGATCGGCAAAATTTTTTTTATTGATCGAAGATGATGAAGAGAAAAGATACAATCAATAAAGAAGAGGAGCTGCAAGTAGCAAAAGAACACACAAACTAAGCAAAAGATGTGAGCTCCCATGGTTGATAAGGAACCAACCAAAGAAAAGAAGAAACAAACCAAAAACCAGTTGAAAGATCAAACCGTGCCCCTAATTTGTTTCCACTGGAAGACTAGATCATCCATTCTTAACTGATGCTTTGAGCCAAAGGGCAGTTCTAATTTTGATGAGTTCAAGCAAACCAAAAAAGTTGGGTTGAGCCTCGGAAAATACACAATCATTCTTATGCTTCCAATAATGTGATACTTTACTAAATATCGAAGTCAGTACTCTTTCTCTCTCATTTATTTTTTAATTATCAATTAATTATTTTACTAAATTTATGAATTATTGAATCTAAAAAGTGAATTTATATATATCATTTTCCTTACAAAATACATACCCAAGGAATCAGTGATAAACATTTATCATGGTTACACTAAGTTTTTACTCCTTTCACATTAGGAAACTAAAAAAAAAAATTGAACTCCTAGTTAATTACTTTGTTAAAAGGGGTTTGAACTGAGTATGACAGAGTTGACACTGTGATTAGAGAATTACAAAACTAAGTGGGAGACACTAACAGCCCATTTTGCCAACCCCTTTTTGCAGCAAGTCAAAAAGCATGTATGAAGTGCAATGGAATCACATGAGCCCCATGGTCAAACAAGAGTCGCTTTAGTTTACCTTACTTAAACCATGCTTTTCATGGTTGTACCTAAGGAACCATTAAAGTCTTTAAATGCAAAATGATAGGGCATTTAGTCCCAATGGTACAAGCTTAAAAAACAAAGATTCCAGCAATATTTGATTTCCTCCAATTGAATTTGAATATAAATGAGTGCCAAAGAAGAAAAATATGCGATATTCCTCGCAGGTCGTACAAACACCATGCACGCTCATGCACCCTCTTTCTACACAATGCCACTTTCAGAAGAAAGTCATTATATGACTCCAAAACCATCACACACACTCTCTCTCTCTCTGTCTCTCTCTCTAACCCATCTCTGATCGTTGTTCTCTCTCTTTCTAGGGTTTCTCATGAGACTTGTTGCAGAGTCAGTTTGGCATTCTGTCCACCTCCATCAAATGCGGTTATAGAATGAATTTTGACCTTTGGAGGTGGTTAGGATGCCAAATTAGCTCTGTAGAGTTCTTTATGAGAAATCCTCGTAAAGTAAATCATTTGGATTGCCGGAGGAATATATCAACCCTAAATATTTTTTTTCTCAGTAATAGTTATCTTGGATTTGGTTTTTCTCTTGTCATTAGGCGGTCGAGTATACATTGGTCCTCCTAGTGATTGGAGAAAAAATGTTTATTTTTATTCTTCATCCTCTTGATGTGCATGCATATAGTGCATGTCCATCGCCTTGGAGTTATTGCAACCTTTTTTTTACCAGCAATGTCTATGTATCTATTCTCATTGCATTGTTCTGTGAGACCAAAAGTTGACCTAGAAGATGAGCTGATCTTGAGTCTTATCCTTGTGTGATGTAGCTTCCTCTACTACTCTTTCCGATTGAAAAAAAAGAAAAAAAGAAAAAAGAAGTGTAGTGATGCTGATAGAACAAGTTATTTTGGTATGCAATGCTGATGGCTTTTATTTGCTTGGCAGGTTGGTTTATTTCAACACACTAAAGCCCCCCATGGTTGCACCCAATGATTTCAACATACACAAAACTCATGCTCAAAAGGGGCCAAGATATATACAAATTTACTGTGAGTTCAACAACAACTTGTCAATACATGATGATGCTCTTAAGTCTTGAGTCGTTAATTGTTTGGGGTAGGCCTAAGGTTGCGACTATTAACCTGTTTTTGCTAGTACTTGAAGTGTCTGTTTTCATAAAACACCTTCTGGAAATTGAAAGGTCTATCTATTATAGTCTTTAGTATATTCTACTAATCTTTTGGCATTGCTTTGATGTAAGTCAAACCCTTTACATGAATATGAAAGCTGCAAAGTTGCATGCACTTCTCTCTTTTTTTTTGGTAAAGTTTGGAACTTTTTCCTTAGTTTACAATGATAGTGAGATTGTGACTTTACATGTTTAAAGCAATGTGATGATTGCAACGGACATGTGGCGCACTCTCATTGGCTTTGAGCACTTGGTGTTTGCAGTTGGGCATTGGATTCCTAGAAGCACTTTAGAGGTGCCACCATGGTTTGTTAGTGTGTGTTTTTTGTTTGTAAATTAAAGCAGCAAAATTTTGCTCCAATGAAAGTGTTAGCATAAATATTAAATAGTTTGAGTTTTAATGTCTTACTTCGTTTGATATGTGAGGTTACAACGAATGGTTATATATATTTCAAATTTGTATTTATGAGATTCATGACACTAGAGCATATAAGGGTTTTAAGGATTAAACTTTTTTATTTTTAACGGTGAAATATTTTTATTGCAAAAACTATTAGGATACGAAATTCAATCATGACAAAAACATGTCTCAAAAAGTTAAAAAGGGGACTTTCAATGACAATTTTCAGATTGTCACTACTAAATACACTTTTAAGATGAAAATAAATTTTTTTTTTAAAAACTTTTTGATGCAGAAATTTTGGTTTTAGAAAGATATTTATTTATTACTAAATGTTTAATTTGGTCTCTAAAAATATAATAATAAAATATGTTGCCCTTAAATTTTCATCTTTAAAATTTTAATTTGTTATAGTGTGAGTTTAAAGGACCTGCTTAGAATTCATTCTTCTTGATTATAAAAAAATATTGGGTAGATAAACCACCTGAGATTTATTTAAATTATAAATTACCTCTTGTGATTCTAGAAATTACATTATGTCCCATAAGGTTTCTAATTTCATAATAAATAGGTCATCAAGTTAATTAATAGTATTTAATAATATTAAAATTTTATTTCAATTAATAATTCAGATAATTTTATTATTGTATAGGTGAACAATTAGAAATTTTATTTTTTCAATTAATTCTGTTAAA